ATGTATGAATCATGGGTTGACCCAGGCCACCTTGCCACAATATTTGTTAGGCGCATTTGTGCATCACATATTATCTGCACATTTATTGAATGGAAATGTTTCCTATTCACATATGCAAATTCTTCTTCAGATGGTGCCTTTATAGCAACGTGTGTGCAGTCGATCGCTCCGATTACATTAGGAAAACCGGCTATCGCTGCAAATTGCGCTTTGATGTTTGGCTGGTCAACTGCATCGTATGGGAACCTTATATACCTGGTAGACAAGCGGATGATCCCGTCCCATACAGCTGGCATTGCGCGGCTCAAAGACGACTGGCATATTCCTGAGCGGTCAGCCAGTTCCCTTTGGAAAGAACCAGTTGCCAAGAAACCAAGTGTTGTCAGCACCTGTAAGGGAATGGGTAATGCGTGGCTCCTCACTGTCTCTCTCTCCAAATTTGGACCCAACTCATCACAGAGCTCCAAGAGGATAGCCCTTGGAAATCTGAAACGGCTGATAAGCCAGTTATCATCGTGGGCCAGAAAATCATTGTGGTCCCTAAAAACTCATTCTCTTCGGATTCTGCCATTGGCAATGTCCTCTAATAAGGCTAACGCTGCCATTGCCATATAGACTAAGGTTATCAATTTGCACATGATTTTATGTGTTCTTACTTAATTGCATAATTGATAGAATATTCCCATGAGGCTCGTGTGACAATAGTATGTCAATTATTTTATTAATTACAAATGAATAGCAATGTTTCTCACAGGTGGTTGTGAGATAGACTTGTAGAACAATTCGTAGTCTAATGTTTGCCACTTCACTTCATTGCCTCTAGGAGTCGCCAACGGACAAAAACCATGAGAAATGTCCGTACGCCAGACATGAAGTTGGCGTGGAGGAACGCACATTCTCACGTTAATTTCATGAGCATCCGACCATGAGCGTGAAAGCTGGCGTACGCAAAGTTTTTGTGCGTACGCAGAGTTGATACATGAGGCCCCTGATCTTCTGTTTTGAGCATGATTGGGCTTCAGCAGCAGCTTTGTTTGGACATACACAGATAAAAACGAAAGTTTAGCCAGGTTGAGTTGAAGGTGATGGTCTGTCATCCAGCAAGAAATATCTGTTAGACATGCTGAGATGCGAGCAGCTATCGTTGGATCATCAGGATGGAATGAGAGGTAGAGTTGAGTGTCATCAGCATAGCAGTGATATGAAAAGCCATGTTTCTGAAAGACAGAACCTAGTGATGCCATGTAGACAGAAAAGAGAAGTGGTCCAAGAACTGAGCCCTGAGGCACCCCAGTAGCTAGATGTTGCGACTTGGACACCTCACCTCTCCAAGATACCTTTTCGTAAGAAGTGGGGTTATACGAGCCTGTTTAAATGTTGAGGGGAAAACACCAGTGTGAAGGGGTGTGTTAATTAAATTCAATTCAATTCAAGTTTATTTGTATAGCACTTTTCACAATACAAATCGTTGCAAAGCAACTTTACAGCAAATTAGGTTTCTACAATACTTAGTAATAGTTTATCAGTGGTGACTGTCAGTTAATAAACATATGGCAGAAATGTACGGAAAAATCAATTAAAGACGTAATCCAGAAAAACAAACATTAATGATGTGAGTCCAGATACAACTGCAGGAGAAATGGCTTGAAGGAGATGAGATGGAATAGGATCAAGTGGACAAGTAGTAGGATGATTGGAAAGGATGAGTTTAGAGACTTCGGCAAATTGTGCACTGAGGTTTGTAATTTTATTACAGTTTTTCTCAATTGCTTCAACACAAAAACTGGTTTCTGTAGCACAAAAACCGATACCCTTATGTCATTCCCAAACACACACATGCATTTCCCATAACTGTAAACACTATTCACCTATTTCCACACATAAATTCAATATTCAAAACTCATTCTGTAAAAACGTTCACAAAAGTGGCCAAATAAATCATTCATTGCACTGTAAGTTCATTCAGCAAACACATGCTCTCAATATAATTAACTCAAGTCATCAGAAGCTAAACTCAAAGAGCACACCTTTCTCCAGGTGCAAACACTAAGACTCAAAATTGTTAACACACCAATCAGAATTAAAGGGTCATTAAATGGGAAACACACCAATCAGAATTAAAGAGTCATTAAATGGGACCTGGAGCAATGTCCATGTGCTTTGGAACAATGGATCCTAACAATAGGGCCTTTCGCACCGCTTTAGTTCCAGAACTTTTGTTAGCGAAAATAAGTTGACACAATGTTTACAGTATGTTTACACGGCGTTTTAAATCATGGCGATGCTGATGTTGCAAGACAACAGCATGGAAGAGGAAGAGAAAGACAAAGACAAGCAATCTCTGATGAAATCTGTCCCACCCTAGTTCATCATGTGCTCATACATGGGAGGACTATGAAAGAAGCTGGACAGTTAGTGGAACCGAACCTACGCCGTTACATGGTTGCATCCATTGTCTGTACTTTCAGGAGGGAAAACAGGTAATTTGCTTTGTTACTGTGATATATGTAATGCTGTAGTGCATATAGATTGAATCCCCACTTTGTTTTCTGTGAAGTTTTTGCAACAGTCATGGATGACCATAATTTAGTAGTGGTCCTTTCATTTTTGCAGAACTGAAAGGCGGCCATCTATAGGAGGTAGGAGAAGACTTCTCACAGCTGAGCAGGAGACTGCCCTGGTGAATATGGTAATTGTCAATAATGCCATCCGTTTGAGGGAAATTCAAACCCAAAGTTGAAGACCAGGTAGTCTTCCAAGGAATTGACAGCATCAGCATTTCCACTATTGACCGGATCATTCAGAGGAACCAAATAAGGACAAAACAGCTGCACCGTGTGCCTTATGAAAGGAATTCAAACCGAGTTAAGGAGCAACGATTCCAATATGTGCAGGTAACTGATATACAGTACAGAATTTTTACAGTGTGTAGAACATGGCCTGTCTCTCCTGCACATCAATACAGTACTGTATTTGGAGTACAGTACTGTAATATATAATTTTTTTTTTTTTTTACTTCTGTAGAGGATCTTTGAGCTGGATGCCATGGCTGACTCACATGAGTACATCTTCATTGATGAGGCAGGGTTCAACCTGACAAAAAGGCGCAAAAGAGGGCGCAACATCCTTGGTCAGCATGCGGTCACACAAGTTCCTGGCCAGAGGGGTGGCAAAATCACCATATGCGCAGCCATCAGCAATAATGGCGTCCTCCACCGCCATGCCAAACTGGGTCCAGACAACATGGCACAACTCCTTCAATTTCTAGATCAGCTGCACAATAACGTTCTTCAACAGGAAGGGGAGCCAGGGCAACCAGAGCAGGTCCAATATGTTGTCATTTGGGATAACGTGAGTTTCCATCGTGCTGCTCTAGTTCACACCTGGTTCAATGCCCACCCCAGGTTCACTGTTCTTTTTTTGCCAGCATATTCCCCATTTCTGAATCCGATTGAGGGTTTTTTCTCAGCATGGTGGTGGAAAGTGTATGACCGCAACCCCTACATACACCAAAACCTCCTGGAAGCAATGCTGGACGCCTGTGGAGATGTGTCTGTGGCGTCTATCCAGGGTTATATAAGGCACACAAGGGCATTTTTTTCATGCTGCCTCGCAAGAGCAAACATAATGTGTGATGTTGATGAGATATTATGGCCTGACCTACACCTGAGACGCGATAATGATGAGAACGTTGATGCTGTTGCTGAGTAACCTGTACATTTGCTTGCCTTTGGAAATAAAGGTTTTGAACATTTAAGTATTATGCTCCGCATGGACTCTTCCTTACATGTTTTGTCAGTGTGACATTTCAAAGGTCAGCTTTTTGTCCAAAACAGCATGTACAGTATTGCTTTATCCAATTCTGTAAGCACAAACACATAAAACAGTACTGTTTTGCTGTTTTTTTTTGTTTTTGTTTTTTTGTCAGGGTTGTTTCTGAAAGAGTTATTAGTCAGTGCTGTGATTTCACTAAGTTCCAAATGATTGATCTGAAAACTTCTAAAGCATTTGGTAGCAGTGTTTTGAATGTATCCCTCCAATGTGTAAAATCAAGCGTAAGCGTTAGTAAGCTCTGGCAGGTCACGTTAGTCAAGCTAGCATCAGCTGACTCTCAGCTGATACCCATCTACCTATAGGAATATGACACCTATCTAAGCATTCATATATAAGGTCCCTCAGTATTATCAGCAGTTTTCGCATTGCTCAATAGCTAATTAAATGGTGAATTCGGCAGGCAAAACACCATCACTAGGAATCGGGAATTTAGAGAAATGGAATTCGCTTCCCCAATGGTCTCACCTCCGATTCATTCAAGTTCGTTAACTTGAACACGTGAATTCACTGTATTGATCATAAGTCACCTGATTCGGAAGTGAATGAGTTAGCATTACTTCACGCATCGCTACATTATAGACATGGACTCCTCGAGTTATGTGACTGACTCAAGAACTTCATCCCCAAGAAGGATATCAAGAGATCAAGCATCCACTTCACAGCTGCTATGTTTCACTGTCTCGAACATCTTCACAAGCTAAGTTCCATTTAATGCTCTCAGGTTATCTGCAACATGCGTGTTGCTAAGGCTATCCGTGTTGCTTAGGCTCATTTAGTTGTTTTCAGCTTGTGCTAGTTTATGCAAATGTGCGGTACTTATCTGTTGTCACTGGCAACACGCTTGTCACTGCAATATGCTGCGATTAACGGGGTCTAATGTCAATTCATGCATTCTGAGTTATTTACACTGTTAAGAGTTGGATACTTATGCGCACGCACGCACTCAGTGACCCAAGCGAGAGCAAGAGTGCGCCACTTAACGCGTTCCTTTCATAGTTACGGAAGTCGTCGGCAGCGCTGCAGTTACTTGCTTTGAGAAAGTTATTAGTCAGTGCTGTGATTTCACTAAGTTCCAAATTATTGAGCTGAAAACTTCTAAAGCATTTGGTAGCAGTGTTTTGAATTTATCCCTCCAATGTGTAAAAAACAGTAATGTAGTCTGTGTTTGTTTGTATTGACTGAGGGCAAAGTTTGAATTGGGATTCAGAAGTTAGCTGTTTGTACCGTTGGGTGTGAGATTTTAAAATTGTGTGTGAAGATTTGACAAAATGGTGAGTTGTTCCCAGAATTGTGTCTAAGCAATTGGGAAAAACTGTAATGAAGAATGTGGCAAAGTTGTCAGCTGTTAGAGTTGATGAAGGAGGGGGAGGAGGAGGACAAAGGAGGGAGGAAAATGTTTTAAAGAGCATGCGAGAGTTAGGCGAATTGTTAATTGTTATAGTATGTCCTTTTAGCAGTGAAGACATTAGCAGAGACATTATCAGAGAATGAAGAGAGGAGTGATCGATATACATGTTGAATGAAATGTTGTTTAAATAACATTTTTGGTTAGTTTATTTTTACTGACAGATTTCTTGACATTTAACCCCCCAGCTCTCATTACTGTAATGTGACAGTCTCACTCGTCATGAATCCCAGCCTCACCACACATGAGATCTGAATGTGGTTTGGTTTGTGTGTGAGCTGTGCTTCATGCATCGCCACACTATTGATGTGTCAGATGCTGCTCTTCACTGAGGTCACGTCTTGTTCCTCAGGCGATGGTAAGTACACAGACTGCGGCTGCGGCTCTTCGAGTACAGAGGATTTCCTCTGACTGCGGTCAAGCCAGCCGCGCTTTGAAAATACACGGTCAAGCCAGCCGCACTTTTTTTGGATTGCGCGTGTAATTGTGTACTTACGGTACGGGTGCTGAGAGCAGTCAAAATGCATGTAAAGAAGCTGTCATACTGACGTTTCCTTTATAATGTGCTTATTTTAACTTTTATTTTTAGTTTGTAAATACATTATTTTTGTACATAAACGTTTGTATTGTACATTAATTATTATAAATAATTTATTAATGTTTATAAAGGTTAATATTAATGTTTTATATTCATTGTTTTTTTAATTTAATGTGTGTGTGTGTGTGTGTGTGTGTGTGTGTATATATATATATAT